GCGCTGCACATGCCGCGACACCGCGCACGGGATGCGCCGCAAGTATGCTTTGGACGTGATACCTGGTAGATACCAAGCCCAAAGTCGTTGTGTGAGTATGCCCTCAGTGAGGGCGTTAGGGCAAGCGTGTTAGGAAGGAAGGGGAAATAAAAAATTGAAACTGAATTTAGGGTGTGAAAACGGGTTCATACATTCTGCCAAGTAATAGTGTGGGCATGCCCTCCTCCGCAAAGTGTCAGCAGCCTGTGGACTATGCCGTGCGTCCGTGTCGGGGCACCAAAACAAAAAAGAACGAAATTAAAAAATACAAACAATGAAAACCTGAAACTGGTCACTATAGCGGTTAGATATGAACGTGTGAGTTTTGGTGCGAGTACAACTTGGGGCCTCGTTCGACACCACTACAAAACCCTTACATGTAAGGGTTTCATCGTTACACCCCTCCCTAATGACGAAAAAAAAGATGCCGAATTTGTTTTCACATTCGGGGCCATAAGGGCGAGCCCCATAAAAGTAAGGACTCCCCAGCCAAAACGGACGCAAACGTGAGGACGGACGTGGAGGTGACTTGAAAGTAGGGGCGGCGCCCTTACTTCCATGGAAAAACCGCTTTATTTTTTTTCTTTTTCTTTTTTGTCAGGTGTTTCGTTCACATTCCTGGTCCAACGGCTGGGTTGTCGGGTACACTGCGGGACGGCGGTCCCATGGTAGCCTCCAACGGGTATCGCGGTGGCCCGGCTGTGGCCCTGCGGTCCCTCCGGTTAGCCGTTTCGGCTTGCGTGTGGAGGCGACCGTTGCAAGCGTCCCCGCGGAGGCGGGCGTGCGAGTGCCGTTGGCGGCTCGTCTTTCGAATGCGAACTGTGGGTGGTGTGCGCAGCCCGTCGGTTTCGATCAAGCAAAACCGCCCACCTCCCGCCACCCCGTGGTGGTCGTCATCGCGAGGACAGCACTAGCGACCATGCTCTTCTCACTGGTTGACAATCTCCTCGTCGCTGCCTCATCGCACCCACCGCTGTCCATAGCTGAACTCCGCTGCATAAACAAGGCACACGGCATTCACGTGAAGCCACGTGCGCTGGAGTAATGGTGGATGAGTGCCGGATACACGGTGGAGAACGCGAGGGTGAGGAGTCCAGAATCCAATGTGGTCAAAGCGAACTGGCGGCGTGGATGAATTCGAATGGTTGGGGTCCTCGCGCGCCTTAACTTTCACGGCTGAATAACGTTGCGCGCCCATGACAGGGCCACAACTGCCTTGGGGAAATGACACTCGCATTCCCTTCTCGGCCGTGCAAGGCGCAAACGGGGGCACCTGAAACGTAAGTCCGACAAAGTGTAGGGTTTTCGTAAGTGGTTGTGGAACGAAAAACGGGGTAAGGGAAAATTAATCACATTTTCGTCGTTAGGGCGCCCTTACAAAGTAAGGGTTTTGTAGTGGTGTCGAACGAGGCCCTTGGTGCACGGCCTTCCCGGACATGATATTTTGTTTTTGTTTTTGGTCTCCGAAGGGGCGCTCAAGGCCCAACTGCCAAGCCTTGTCCAACCCCCGAAAAGCTCGCAAGAAGTGGGAAAACACTGTGTTAGTCCCCAGTTGGCTCAGCTGGGGGAAGGTCGCCCGAGTACCCTCTCGGGTGGCCCGGACCGGGAAGGGCCCGGGCAGGGTCCCGGGCCATCCCAGCGCATAATATAATATTTTAAAAAATAGAAAATAAAAAAAATCAAAGAAATCCGAAAAAAGAATATGTTGTGTAAAATTGCAATACAAACGACTTTTGGCCGAGGGCCACCTCGAAATTCCTTGTTAATTTCAAGATAAAAAATAAATGAGAAAACATGACTCCCAAAAGACTCATATGTGCCCTTTTAAGCCCTTTAGTTACTGTTTATACCCCCCAACCCCCCCTGGATGACCCATCACCAAAACCGAAGTTAAGACCGAATTCTGACTTCTTGGGCCAAGCGCAGTCCTGGTCTGAAGTCTTTTTTTTTGGGGGGGGGATCCTTGCCTCTTTTTTGACCCATCTGGGTTGCCGGGCGACCCCCCCTCTGCCCAACTGGCCCGGGCGTGCCGGGCCGGGCGACGGCCCAACATAGGGAAAACATCCATTTTTCCCATTTATCCCAGGAGTGACAGAGGTAGTGGTGGTTTAAGAGAGTTGGTAAACATCTTATTTTAAGTGTGGTTTAAGTGATTAACCTGGCAGTAGTCAATACAGCACGCCCATACCAATGTACCTCAATGGATATCAGGTCACTGGGGCAGCATGTCAAAAACGCCTTTCGTGAGTGTTGGACATATTGCATCATGACTATGATAATGGAAGCGTAGAGGTGACATGCATTCTGAACTCTTTACTCGAAAGGGACTCGTACTATTTCTGTTTGAACTTGAATTGAATAGCTCTGATGTTAGGAGAACATAAGACATTTTCAAGTGGCAGTTGATCTTCCACATTGCTACAGGTTGCGCTTTCATAACAACGTGCCCTAGTACTGTGTCGCAATGTAGTTGCTTGTGTCGTTGCTGAATGAATCATTTGCGAGCGGCTCGCTGTAGAGCCATGATTAAGCCAATGTGATTGTTACTGACTCTTTCTTCTGTGTTTGCAGACGGCAATTGCTTACAAGGCCAAGTTTCCGGAGCTAAGATGAGGAAGGTTTCTCTTCAACAGCAACTGGCATTTGATGAACCTTGCAGTTTTGGAGCGGGGATTTGACATGAGCTGCAAGTGCAGTTCCTGCCAGGAGAATGACTGAAGCAGCTGACTTCGCTGTTGCTGCTTCGTTGAGGTGTTATCGTCATGGCTTGTGCTGTTGCAGGGACATGCGGGCTAGTAGAATGAGAGTGGGGAATGAGGCTGTAGTTTGGACAACATCGCTGTGATTTGTCTTGGTACAGAACGGTGACAGGGCAAGGTGTGCGTGCTGGAAGCATGGATGGCCGTGTGTTTGTGTCCTGTTCTTGGATTGCCCTAGTGCAGGATATGGTCGTGCGGGAGAGTGGAGACGGGCGCTATTGTTGAGCACCAGCTATTTTCCTTGGTACGATTTCGTTTCAGTTGTATTCACTATATTGCACACAGAGGAGCGGGTGGACTGTATAGTTAATTGCACCATCAGGCCTGGGTTGAGCTTGGAATATATACATATATATATGCTATAAAGAGCAAGATGACAACAAATGGGTGGCGGCAGTGGTGCACTACGGCCATGTAGTTGAAGGGATTAACACCATCATTTTTGGCTTTGTATGAACACTTCATGTGCTCGCATGCTAGCCTTACCGGACACAGTTGCAAGTAACTCCCGTAAGGCTTTAGCTGTAGGCATTGAATATTGGGAGCAACTCCCACACATGTGGGCACTTTTAGAGTAAGAAATGTTCATGTCCGTGTATTGTTGAAGCAAGCGATTTTTCATGAGAGCATGTTGTTCTCCTTCTCTCGTCTTCAGCTGCCTCCTGTCCTGTCATTGCGATCCTGCCCTTTCTTATCCCCCACTTCTGCCCCTCCTACACATGCGCTCACACATGCACATATAGGGTTGTGCTTCCCCTCAGCGCTGACCATCTTATGGCATATGCAGTGCGAGTCAGTAAACACGCAAACATCCTCGAATGTTAGAGGTCGTGTCTTCTGAGACAGTTTTGATCTCTGTTAGGACCTCAGCTAGGTGTGCGACAGCTTTTTGTGTACATCGTCCATCGCTCGGTGCCGTGGTGTTCACGTTTGCTGTCCGTTGGAGCGGGTCGGAAGAGTTTGGCTACTGAGGCAAGCCCAGGTTCTTCTTCTCACCTGGATGAGGTCAGGTCAGGCAATACTTATTGCGATTTTGCAAGATGCAAGATCCCGTAGACCATCATTCCGCATGGAATGCTGTTGATTAATGAATCAGAGTGACCAAAAGGCATTGTAAGATGGTTTTGTAAAGTGAGCGTATTCGACCAGTGTCAGTTTTATGTTGACAGCCCAGAATGCCAACTTCTGGTGTGTTACGAATAGTTATGCCGCTTTCGGTAGTGAAGATGAGAATGCTGTGGTCTAAGTGAAGATTTGGAGACTGCATGCTCAATTTGCATGTCAGGCTGACTTTTTGGATGCTCTGAGTGGTAGTTTTCTCCTTTGCTCTCTTTCACAATTCTTCCCCTTTTCCTGTTTGGCGAGGAAGAAGAGTATTTCCTATTTCAGCCGTAATCTCAGTTTGCGGTAATGTGATTGGTTCGTTGAACTGAAGCATGGAAGTTATGTGGAAACAAGTTTTCCTTGAGGTAGGTTTCTCCTGGGACTGCGTATCCAATCACTTACACTGAGCAGGTGTGTGACGCGTAACCAATGGTTGATGACGAGTTGTGCCGAAGCTGGGATGCTTTTTTTCTGGCTGGCACGCAGTCCATGCTCGCAGGCCATAACGTTTACCAATCCCAGGGGTTGTGCATGCCGTTTTGTCTGCTCCCTTGAAACCAATGTCTTAAAGTGCATGTGCACAAAATGCATCTTGAAATTGCCTGTGTGTGAAGAGGTCTGTGGCTTCAGTTGCCATGCTAGACATACCTGGCATCTTTCAGGTTTTGAAGATTTTCTGGTTTGGCCTGGTTTGATGTGTCTACCTATCCATGGTTTGAACTACATGAGAGGATCGGTGGTCTTAAGTGAGAGACCAGTCACCATCACATATTTCACATCACACATTTCACATCACATATTTCACATCACAGTTGCTGAATGCAGTGAAGTCATTCTGACTGAGGTTCATATGCTGACAGGTGGGGGATCTGCGGATGCTCTCTGGAAACCAATCGTTCTGTCCATGGGCCCTTAATTGCCCGATTTGCATGATATGCAGGCAAGGGTTGCATCCCCCAAACCTGAACAGGTAGGACAGCAAACCTGCACTGCGCAGGTGTTTTCGGTTGATGTGTAGCTCGCACCTGGATCTGGTTTTCTATCTCCTGCTTGTTTCTTTGCTATTTCCACTCTCATGCGCCTCTACACATTCAGTTTGACTAATGCATTGGTACAGGATCTCACATACAGCGACATTCATCAGACAGGATTGGAATTGTATTTTTTCCTCTGGGTTTCTCTAATCTTGTTATTATAATTTATGTTATGGTATTCCATGAACCGTAGTACTGCTTGTCTAGTCAATGTCTGCATCAGGAAGGGCCTCTGTTTCACTCCCACTGTCAAGGGTCTCAGGAATAACGAATGTCGGTGATAGCGCTGGGGTATAATCTCTCTCTCATGCAATTGCGCCCCTTTTATGCTATTCACAATCGCCACGCACTGCTCATTCTTCTGGATCAATGTGTCTCGCATAAGGCCGTCTGATGTGGTTCGTTGGTCGCCATGCTTGAACGTGATGGTCTTTCTACATTCCTAATGCATTGGCTGACCGTGGTTTTCTGGCTGTGAAGGCCGCTGTGGGTCTTTGGTCAGTGTACAAAAGCATTTTGGGGAAGTTGCCTGGAATTGCCTTTGCTTCTTCACTGTGAGTGAAGGATGCGCTGAAGGACCTCTGCATGTCCTTGCAGTTGGAGTGATGTTCCGCAGTTTGATTTTGGATGGGTCACGTGCTGTCGTTGTTCGAGGGTTACGTGTCATAGTTAGAAATGTAATCAACCTATTAGATATAATAATATGTAGAATCCTTTTAAGGAATCATGGCACCTCATGACATACGGTGGTGTTGTGTGTGTGTGTATGTGTGTGTGTGTGTGTGTGTGTGTGTGTGTGTGTGTGTGTGTGAGTGGGAATCTGGGATACCAGAGCCGCCCGGGGCAGCTTGCACGGCCGGGCTAAAATATATATATTTGATGATAAATATATATATTTTAAAATCTTAATTCTAATTTCAAATTTTGTAAAAAAAATTGATATGACCCTGAGGCCAAAGTTGTTTATTTTATTTTTCTTCATCACATAGTTTTTTTTTTTTTTTAATTTGGGGGTTTTGGATTTTTTTTGCCTTTTTGCTGGGCCCTTCCCGCTACTTGCACGGCCGGGCTGCCCAGTCAAAGAAGGTGACCCAGGTGGCACAGCCGGTAGCCCATTTGGGAGCGTGTCATTCTTGGTATGTTTGAGACTGGCCAGTTGTTTTTTCAACCTTTTTTGTATGTTCAGTTTTTTCAACCTTTTTGTGTAGTCCAACATTTTTAATTTTTTACCAGTTTTCCCTTTACATATTACACGTACGAAGGTGTGTTATTAAGCACTGTTTCTGAATATCATTTTTTGCCATTTGCAGGCGGAGAGATTCAAAGGAATCCAAATGTAGATAATGGAACGTCGCCAGCCGAGTGCCTGGTTGTCGATCAAGAGAGGTGGTCCCTGGTGCTGTGGTACCTTTGCTTGCATGCTGGTGGTCAATGCAGGGAAACAGTGAAAACTCGACGACAAGGGTCTTTGGTTGTGGAGGTGGATTAAAAACTTATGCATGGATGGTTGTGGCTTGAGCGTTGTGTGATTGCCTGGTTGACGACAAGGGGCGATGAGTGTAATCCATGGATCAAAGAGAGCTTCTCCCCATGGCGTTTCGCCTTTCATTGCGTCCTTTCTTTCTCAATGCCAAGGCATCCACCCAATGCATTATTTTGGATATAGCAGGGCCCTTCGCTACTTCTCACTTTGTGGGCTCATGAGGGAAGTGTAGTCTTCTATGCAGGGGAGGGAGTGTGAAAGCTGTGTAATGTTGTCATCATTTTTGGGGATTTCTCAGCGTCGTTCTGCGCGTCCATGGGTCTTTCTTAAATATGTCTGAACGTCTTGACGTATCCCGTCTTTCTCGGGTGGTTGATCTCCCCGCCCGTGCTAAGAAAAGAGCACAAGATAGAAGTGCTCTGTTGGTCTTTGTGTTAGCCGAATGCAAGGCTGCACTGAAACCCCTACTTGAGAAAGGAAGGAAGGAGAGTCGTTGCCGCAAAATGAATGGTTGCTTGTCCCTGCCCTTCTGTATTTTTGGGGAACCAGCGTTGTTGCTACGTTTATGCAAGTGTTGGCTGGTTGCCACTGATGCCCTTGTGATGTATTGTCGGCTGACTGCGCTTAAAGTTTTCTTCCCTTTCGCTACGGGAAGGAGCTGCCTGATTGCCACTGCCGAAGAGCTTGCACTGGAGTTTTGAATCTGCTTGTCACTCTGGACAGGTCGTTTACATAGATGCCGCCGGTTGCCTTTTCTCTGTTCTTCTTTCTGTTGTGATTAAATGTTACCAAAATGATAAATAAATATATCTTCCAGATTTTTTCTTAATGATTCAAAGCTCTTCTTTTGCGACGGATTGAAAATCTCAATAGAAGAACATTTATTTCATCAAACGTTTATTCATTAAGGACTTTTAAATATTTTCACTCTGGAGTCTGGACAGGTATAGTTCCTTAATCCTACCTACTCCTGACATTCACGAACTAATTCGGGACCACATGTCGATTACGCTCCAAGGAAATGTACCGTCTAGTAGAGGTTTGTGCAAAGCGCGGCGGTTAATTATTGTCGTGGCATAGGACGAAAGCTGTTTGGTGCAAAGCGCGCAGGTTAATTATCGTGGGTATCATTTTTCTCTCATCGACATGCACTTTTCCTTGCACGCCGGTAGATTGGCACTGTCGTCGGCATTCTGATTATATACCTGTATTGTGACTTTGTGTTGGCGTGGGGCCTTTTCAATGACATCATTCATTTTCAGCTCGTGTGTCGACATGTTCTCTTACTGGCAGTGTTTTTTTTTTTTAATTTTAACCTATGTTGTCTAGGCACTAGCTAATAAGCGGAAACTTTTTCTCGTCTTCTCATGAAGTTTGGAGCGTGCACTGATGCAAAGTTTCTTTTCCTTTTTGTTCCTCAGGTGCAGGTGTGTGATCGCATTCCGCCGGACGGTTTTGCTGGACACCCACCTACCTGTTGCTCAGCTACATGTGCATGAGGTCTAGGGAACAGAAGGCATTCCGTGTTGGTTGCATGCTTGGAGCCCCTGCAGAAAAGAACAGTCTAGTCTACACAGTACTGCCTGATTCAAACGAGAACGAACTTCGAGAAGTATTGACGTGAAATGACGGTGCAAAATAGTGGCAACCATCTTAGCATGGGTGTGTAGCAGCGCTTGTGCAAAAGAAATGTGCAGAGTGCTGCGTGCGCTGGGAGAAGAGCCGGATGCAGAGTAAGAAATGAACTTGGACCAGCAGGGGAGTGAAGTAAGAGTACGACCTTATAACAAGTTAACAACGATCTTGTTAGGGAGAAGAGCCGGTGCAAGTTTTGCTCAACTTGATGAAAGAGCTGGCTGGGAAGACCCTAGTGCAATCATCAGCACCTGGAAGGTTGTATGGAAGTAGAGCGGTGAGGACCAATGATCTTGGTTTGCCTCAGATACGGAGTGCGGGATGATGTATTTGGGGTGAACGTGGCCATCACGGGTGAGCGTCAGAAGTCAAAGCAGAAGGCCTGATTTTCTGTCTGAATTGCAAGCACGGCGGAATGGCAGATTTGTTCAGTGGGGATTTTCTGGGGTTAAGCATATAGAAGACCTACCAAATTCGGAGAGTAGATGATGTGCAGCCCTCTTTGCCTATTCAGAATATCCTATCCCTTGCACTTAGTCACCCTCTTAAATGGCCTACATATTTTCCAGCCTTCAGATGAGCACTCGTACTCTCTCTCTCTCTCTCTCTCTCTCTCTCTCTCTCTCTCTCTCTCTCTCTCTCTCTCTCTCTCTCTCTCTCTCTCTCTCAAACATTCTTGGAAGTGGTAGTGTGAGTGTGCCCTCAGTGAGCGCGTCTCAGCCCCGAGGCCAGGTTGTCAGATTCCGGAGAAGACATGAAGAGAAAAAAAGGGAACATGGATTTGGCAGTGACATTGGCTCAGTACGCTCCTCTAACTGCCAGTGTGATCAGGGTTACGATCCTCTGAGGAAACACAGCGTGAGCAGATCACGGATTCCATTCCACCCTGCCTCGTTAGCGGAGAAAAAAAAACAAAACAACAACGTTTGGGATCAGGATTACAGTCCTCTGAGGAAACATTTCATGAGCAGGGGACACGAAAGAATGAGACGAGGAAGAAAAAAAAAACAAAACAACAACGTTTGGGATCTCACCGTTTTAGCTGTAAGATTCGTTTTGTGGAAGCGTGCCACCTAGACTACTCTGGCCGACATCACTGCAGTAGAGAAAGTATGTTTTTTTTTTTCATCCATATGCGCAGGCAATATATAACGAAACTTTATGGGACTTGCTGAGCCTGGGTCCCGCTCTGAATTCTTCCGGAACGGGAGTTCTTCCCTAATGTCCATTGCTGACGGAGGTACTAGTGGGCTTTACGATGGTCTGGTGCGTAGGACGTATTGCCAGAACTGGACGTTACGTCGTCCTGTCAATGTATTGGTCGCTCCTCTATCCCATCTGGGAGGCCACTTTTTTTTCACCATCTGGCATAGACTCGGGTGCTAACTATGCATAACAACTGAAGTGCAACCACAGCCTGGAGTACAGTTTGCAGGGTGTACTCCTGTTTGAGGACATTGTTGTGCTACCTCTGACTGGACTGGTTGGCGTTCATGGAAACTGATTTCAGGGTGGGATTATGAACCTGCTGTGTACGTTGCACTGCTGGATGTGCCCTGCTTGTTGGATTCCAAGAGAGCGGTTCGTTGCAAAGCCAAGAGAAAGTATTGCAGGTAAGACAATTGTTTGAGTCATCAATTGAGCTTTGAAATGCTTTGCTAGCAAGAAGGGTATAACGAGAAACAGTCCTCGCAGAGCAGTCTCCCTGAGGGGACTACGAATCAGGGAACTTAACTTTGACTGGATCTCTACGGGGACGCGCTTCATCCTCCTTTGGAGCTGCCAATTTGGCGCCCTCTATAGCGCCTATGCATAATCGCTCTGTGTTTTTCATCCTCACTTTCATCTCTGTGCCTACGTGGATCATCATCTCACGTTGTCGCGACTGGTGGGTCCCGAATAACTTCCCATCACTCGAGAGACTGAATATGGACGAACTGTGCACATCAGAGCAATCTCTTCGAGGGTCAACGTGAAACTATGGATTGACAGGAATGAGTTGCGCATGGACCTGCTTTCTGAGTCTCGACTGATGTGCATTCTTTCTATAGTGGTTGCTGTGTTCCGTAAAGTCCCAGGGTAGCTTATTGTCATTATCACCGTTGCATATCCTCTGTGGCACTGCAGCATGGAAACTGGCTGTGGGGGCAGGCTCACATGCGAGGGAGACTTCTGCAGATAAGCTACGAGAGTGGCTGCACCGGCCAATGAAAGCTAGCTGCGAGGGCAGACTCGCATGTGAAAGGCACGTGTCCAAACTGCAATAGTTAGCGTAGCATGAGAGTGGCTGCACCAGACTCAAAAACAAGTACAATTCACCAGTGTATGGTGGTGGAGGGTTGAGCGAATGAAGTTCATCGGGATTTTCTCCCGTGTAAGTGTTTTGATATGCCTTTGATTATATATGTCAGGGATCCTGGCAGGATGCCCTCTGTTTTGCTGGCGGAACAAATTGTAAAGATGGGGATGGTCGTACACATACAAGCCGGGAGCTTATAGCTGTCATTTTATCGTGTGGTTAAAGACGAACCACTTTTCTCAGGGGTATGGCTACCTTTGGGTGACGTGGTGAGTCCTTATATCCATGAGTCAAATCCTTCCTGGGCAGACTGTCTGTCCAGGTTCAAGCTCCTGATGAGTCGGTGAAAGTCCGAGGGAAGAGTCTGGGACAGTCGTGCTTTGTTTTTTTTTTTTTTATGGAGTTGTGTATAGCGAAGATGACAGCACACGCAAATCAGGCCATCTTTTGGCGGGGCAAAGACAAATATGCCATTCCCATCCTGGGGTGATATTTTGCATAAGAAAGGTTTTGCAAGCTGACTCCAGTATTCTCGTACTTGTCGAATTCGCAGAGGCTTAGTACCTGCAGGGCCGCGATGGGGTTATGAGGTCCTGCTGCTTGCTTTGCTTTAGTCCTTTGCCCTGCCCTGTTTGATGAGAGGGTTGGGTTGGGGATGGTGACTGTGTACGTCGCTATCCATTGTTGTTGTGTGATTGTATGGGATTCATTACTGCTGGGTTGGACGATGCACTCTGTTGGATTAGGGCGCTCCTGTAGAGTTGGACGATAGCTTGTAAGCTGGGACAGCTTCAAGAGAGGGGGTTAATGGCCTGCCCGGTGCAGTTGATGATGATCACCTTATAGGGTGGTCGTTGAGTTGCAGGGTGGGAGGATTGTACTAGACGTGCTAGACAGAGTGGAAGAGTGGTCTCACTGCCCTCTGATTTGCTTTGGCAGGTGTTTCCCTAGCTGCAAAGCGCGAGAATTGCACTTTTAGCAGTACTGATTTTGACTCGTTCAAAAAGTGGACACCAGCCACATTTGGTTGCAGATTTTGACTGAGTGACTGTTGTCTCTTGTTGCCAACTTGGGCTTCGACTGCTCTCTTAGCGTGTTCAAGGCTTTCTCGTGTTGCTTAGCATAAACATGAGCGAGTGCGTGTTAGCAGAGAGATTCATGGGCTTCTCACGCTTGACCACACAGAGTTTGTGAGCCTTGCGCTTTGGAATTTGGGACTGTCTGTGGTTCGTCCACTGCTTTGCGTGTCGGAATGTGGACTGGGTTTTGTGACGGTCTGCCCCTATTCCTTGACGAGATGCCTTCCGAATCGGTGATTACCCGTGAACACAGCCATGATACTCCACATTGCACAGAACGACTCTGGGGTGTAGTAGGGGCGACCACTCTCGCGTCTGTTGGCGTGGATGGGCCGGATAAAATCACGTGAGTGTCTTATGGACCAATGGAAGTACGGCCCAGTGTTCAAAGTCCTTGTTCATGTGAGTAGCCTATTGTGGTAGGTGGTAATTTGGTGGGGGGGGGGGGGGGG